GGCACAACGGCCCGACGGGCAGCGGCAGTCCGCGCGAGAGTGGGGCCGCCGCCTCCGCGGGCTCGTCCCGTGGCCGGCTGAGGGCCACCAAGGGGGGATGGGGGGGAACAGGTTGGGCGACGATGCACACACACACACACACATCCACACACGCACCCGCGCAAAGCCACACAGACACACAGACACACGGATACACGGAATCACACAGAGACACACAGAGACACACAGAGACACACAGAGACACAGAGGCACAGAAACACAGCGACACAACGACACAGAGACACAGCGACACGGAGACACGGAGACACAGAGACACAGAGACACTGAGGGACACAGAGGGACACAGAGGGACACAGAGGGACACAGAGAGACACAGATAGACACAGAGTGACACAGAGAGGCACAGAGAGACACAGACACAAACAGAGACAAACAGAGGGACACAGACACACAGACAGACAGATAAACAGACAGACAGACACTCAGGCAGACAGACACGCAGGCAGACAGACACACAGACACAAGACAGACAGACAGACAGACAGACAGACAGACAGACAGACAGACAGACAGACAGACAGACAGACAGACACACACACAAGACAGACACAGACAGACACGCAGACACACAAGACAGACACACAAGAGAGAGAGACACACACACACACACGCACACACACACTGACACACACACACACGCACACACTGACACACACACACACCGACACACAGACACACACAGACACACACACAGACACACACACAGACACACACACAGACACACACACACAGACACACACACAGACACAGACACAGACACAGACACTGACACAGACACAGACACACATACACACACTGACACACACACACACACTGACACACACACACACACACTGACACACACACACACCGACACACAGACACACACAGACACACACACACACACACACACCGACACACAGACACACACACACACAGACACACACACACAGACACACACACACACGCTCACACACACAAACTCCTCTTGGGCCCAGGGTGCGCCAGGAGCGGCACTGGATACGTGCATCTGACCTCGTCCCCCGACCGCGGAGCGCCAGGAAGCCCTCCAGCGGCCAGTGGAAGCCCGTGCCGCGTTTCTCGAGACACGTTCTCTGCGCTCAAAAGTTGTGGAATAGAGCCCTACCAGACATGACACAAACATAAAAACTCAGAGGTCCGCGCGGACCTCTCGGATCGGCGCTGGAGGCGCCGCCAGAGGGGTCCAGCGCGGATCCGAGAAATCCGCGCGGACCTCTGAGTTTTTGGGTGTATGTCGTTCTTCGTTCCCGCATCCTCGGGCCCTGAAGAAAAGGGCCCCTCGCTGCCCGCCCCCCCCGGGTTGTCGCCCCCCCCCGTCGTTGCGCGCCCTCCAACACCCCCTCTGAATTTTTGGGTGTATGTCATTCTTCGTTCCCGCATCCTCGGGCCCTGAAGAAAAGGGCCCCTCGCTGCCCCCCCCCCCCGGGTTGTCGCCCCCCCCCCCGTCGTTGCGCGCCCTCCGACACCCCCTCTGGGAGCCAGACCTCCGGCGTCGTGAGGTGTTCCACAGCGCGGCTCCCCGAAGGTCCCAGGCCTCCAACGCACTGAACAACAACACAAACTCACAGTGTCTTTTGACAGCCTGGGGGCCCTCGCTGGGCCTCCAGGCTGTCCAAAGACACTTCCGGACGAACAGCTTATCCTCAAGAAGTATTCCAGACCGAGTTTCGGGGCGCCTGGTATCAAACAACACAAAAACGAGACATCCGAGCTCTGAGTTCTGGACCTCTTCCCTGGAACCAAGCCGTTGTTTGACAGCCCCTGGGCCTGGTGACCGAGTGGTCAAAGCTTCTGTCGTAATTTTTATCGTAGCGCGAGGGGGTATGCCTTGAACACCGCGGGGGGTGTTACAGGGCTAAGGAGGGTTCTGAATGGATGCTAGGGTGGGGTTGTATCTGGCCCAGCCTAGCCGACAAGTGGCCTCACCTAGCCGATCTCACGCGTAGCCGACCCCTCCACCCCTCAACGACGACGACGACAACGACGAAGACCCCCATCGGATGCACAGCCGGCCGCGGCGCTCGCCGCCCTCGGGCGCGCACCGCCGCGGCCCCCGCCGCGGCGCGGCGGAGCGGCGCGGCGCCCGCGGCGCCGGTGGCGCCCCGGGGGCCGTCAGCGCGCCGCCGCGCCGGCCGCGCGCGCGCGGCGTCGGCGCGCGCGCGGCGCACCGCCAGAGCGCCCGCGGCGCGGCGGCCGCGGCCGCCGCCGCGGGCGGCGGCCGGGCGCCGGGGGCCTCCGCGGGGCCCGCGCAGACCGCCGGGGGCCCCCGCGGCGCGGTGGGCCAGGCCGCCCACGCGGCGCCCACGGCGCCCACGGCGGCGGCGCGCCGGGCGGCGGCGGCGGCGCGGAGGTCGCGCCCGGCCCGCGGCGTGGGGGGCATGGCCTCGCGCGGCGCCTGCGGCGCCCGCGGCGGAGGCCTCCGCGGGCCAAGCTGGCGGGCGTGGGCCGCGCCCTCGGGCGCCGGGGCGGTGCGATGGCGCAGGAGGGCGACGACGGCGCAGGAGGAGGGCGACGACAGCGACAATGACGGCGACGACGATGAGGGCGACTACGGCGCAGGAGCAGGACGACGACGACGGCGGCGACGGCGCTGGAGGAGGAAGAGGAGGGGGAGGAGGAGGAAGAGGAGGAAGAGGAGGAGGAGGAGGAGGAGGAGGCGGAGGAGGGGGAGGAGAAGGAGGGCGACGACGGCGCGGGAGGACGTGCAGGAGGGGGAGTGGGTGGGAGGGATGTTCTGCGCCCGCCCCAGCGACAAGGGGGGGAGAGCAGAGGCGAAGCAGCACGGCAACTCGCCGCTCCACGGCCAGAGCTGCAATGGATGCCCATTCCGGTTTTACGCGTCATCTGCTACGGGCCCGCGTCCGCCAGCGCGATTGCGCCATCCTGTGAATTGCGGGGTGGGGGGAACATTTAAACTTATACGTGTCTCTCAAGTTGGAGGGCACCGAGGACTTGTCACAGCGCTCTGGCACCCACTCACCCCATTCCATCCCATCCTATACATGTTGACTGCCATCGTGCAATACGGCCGGCCGCCTTGCTTCTTGTGCAATTTTATCCTGAACTCTTTGTTTGAGTCATGGGAGTGGTAAGTCCTCCCATTTCTGAGGAACGCAGCAACACCGACAATGTCAACATACCTATGCGACGAGCACCTGAAGAATGTCTCTGGGGTGAACGGAGAAACCCCTGTTTCGAAGCAAGCGTCTGGCCTGGTGGATCTCGGGGGCGTGTCAGTGTCCAACAGGCGGATGTGAATGATGAATGTCCAAGAGAGAAGTTTCAGCAACTTTGCCACAACCTCGGAACGGAGGCTTGCGTAAGAATTGCGCGCCCCCGCCAGGCCCCCTTTCTAGACAGGCTCCTTCTTTCAGATCAGGGAATAGTCCAGGAACCAGACCTTCTCCCATATCGTCCCTCCCTCGTTTCCTCCAGTCCTGCTCCTTCTCCTCCGAAGACGACGACGGAGACGGCGACGGCGAAGAGTTTCCATCAACGTAGAGGGCTATGATGGTAAGGACAGCGACTGCGTAGCAAGACACATCTCGACGTCCTGGATGTTTTACAACATGAAAAAACACTGGGAACTCGCTGCCAGGGTACATTATGCATTGCCTTAGTGCGTAAGGGCGTGCAAGCACGGTGCTCACTCTAGCACTGAAGGCTGAGGGTTGAGCGTGCCCCACGGGAACGGGGATAATCCAAGCAACAAAAAAGCGGTTGACTGTCGGCACATTCATCAGAGAACACATGCGTGTCGTGCTGATCTTGGCTGGCTTGCTCGGGCTCTTCCAGAGGGGAGAGGCTCGGAGGAAGAAGGACGGACCGTGCTTGCTAGAATTTCGCTGGGCACGAATCGTATCATTTACGGCCTAGAGTGTCGATCCGCGTAGTCGCAACATCCGCCACCCCAATGGTAAACTAAATCCAGTAAACATAGACAGTGGTTGATGTCGTGGATGTCGTCGCCGCCAGGTTCCTTTTTTTTTTTTTCAGATGGAGATCACTTGGCTCGTAGTAGCTTGATATGGTAAGCTTCTCGTGGTGCGGACGTGAGCCAGGACTGATGTTAACAAGGTGTAGCCCACGTTGGCTTCAGCTAGAGGTATGTGGCAGCGAGAACGTCGAGCAGGTACTTCGGTTTCTGCCAATTGATGCACATGAGTGTAATAGGTATCTCAACGCCGCGCGTCTCCTTCTTCGGCTTAGTTGGTCAGGTGGAGAAGATGATACTATGAATGATATCTCCAAGCCATGACCATCAAGTGTTGTACCGCCTGTTTTTTTTGGCCACACCCGCTTCTTCATGTGACCGAGGTCGGCGGCAACTGCATCTAAAGCGTCCTGGGAGGCGCCGTTCTGGACGGGGCCGCCTTGGACAGGTGTGGCCAGCAGCTTGGTAACGTTGTCCTCGTCTAAATGTTAATTGGATGACAAATCGAGCTCATGCCTCCCTCAGAAACAGGCTTGGCTAGAGCGGTGAGGAAGGCTTGTCCGCTAGGGCGAGTGGCGGCGACCGACTGGTAGCTCATAATGCGTGTGCCTGCTCTGATGCGAACAAAGTGTCAAACTCGCGCGAGGTCACGTGTAACCCATGCTTCGCGGAGTTAGTTGATCGTCAACGGAGGATCGCCACCAAAAGTTGCACCATCTCAAATAAGACTTGAGCTACCTGGTGAGGAGGCGTGGTTGGACATGATGGATGTGTAGGCCGTCTTCGCAGTGCTGAGCTCGTTGTCGTGGGAAGCGGGCACGTTCATCTCTAGCTTCTGTGGCCCATGTGGGCGCGTGAATTTCAGGTCTGAAGACTTTGGCGGCAGCATTCCGTGACGACGACGACGACGGCGACGACGATGACTGCACCGATAGCGAAAACGACGGCGGCGGCGGCGACGGGACGCCCCCCCGCGAGCTCGGGCCTCACAACCGCAGTCGAACAAATTCAGCGCCTGGGCGACGGAGAGGCCCCGCCCCCGGCGGGCCGCCCGCGCTGTCCTCGCCCTCGTCATCGTCCTCGTCGCCGCCGCCGCCGCGGTCGGTCGTCGAGCGTCGACGTCCTCCTCCCGCTCCTCCTCTCCCTCCTCCTCCTCCTGCTCCTGCTGTCCCTCCTGGTCCTCTTCCTCCTGCAGCTGCTGCTGTTCTTTCCTCCTCCTCCTCCTCTTCCTCATCCTCCCCCTGGTTCTCCTCCTCCTGGTTCTCCTCCTCCTCCTTCTCCTCCTCGTCCTCCTCCTCCTCCTCCTCCAACTCCTCCTCCTCCTCCTCCTCCCCGTCCTCCTGCTGGTGCTCCTCCTCCTCTTCCTGCTCCTCCTCCTATGGGCCAACTTCTCAGGCAGACCTTCCCCCAAAATCTCTGCGGCTTTTGTAAGGATAACCCTCTAATGTCGAAACATGTTTGGGGTCTTGTGCGCACCATCTTATAACTCATCATCTAATTCACCCGCATGCTCCAGTGGGCTGGAGTAGGTACATTCAATCACAGTATAACCAAGCTTTCCCAAGCTTGAACTGGCAGAGGTGGCTGCCAAGACATGCGGCGGTCTCATGCCAATTACCATTTCGGGTGCGTGCACTCACTCCATAGAAGGTGGGGCGTTCCAACCTTCACCAATACGGACTTACCAGGGAGGGAGAGCTTAAATGCCCCAACCGACACATGGAAGGATATGTCGACCCTTCCGGGCATCAGCGCTACACTACAATCCTCCTCCTCCTCCACCTCCTTATCCTCGTCTTCCTCCTCCTCCTCTATTTCCGAATTCTCCTCCTAATCCTGATCCTCATTCTACTCTTCCGCCTCCTCCTCCTCCTTTTCCTCCTCCTCCTCCTCCTCCTCCTCCAAAGGTAAGGTCTGGGCACAACGCGTCGTAACTGGCGCTCGTTGCTCGTTGAACCGTGATCTCGGATGATACGATGGATTGCGTTCCCGCCGCGGTCCCGATCTGCCTTGCGCTGTTGACCGCTCATTCCCTGATCGTGCTGGTCGATGGTCTGTATTATCTTGCTCTCTCTTCCGTGGGACGCGACAGATTCTGGGCGCGCCAAATCCAGAATCCTGCGGAGACAGAGATAGAGAGAAAGAGAGAGACAGAGAGGCAGAGAGAGAAAGAGCGCGCGAGTGACCTTCGCCATGCCGGCCCCGTCACGAGCACGCTCGCGCCAGCTCGGTGACGTGGCTCGGTGACGATCGCAGAAGTCGCACGGTTCCTCGCCCCAGCGCTGCTTCGGCCCAGCGCTGCTTCGGCCGTTGCGGCTTGCAGGCACGCCGTTCGGCAGGCAGCGCAGTGGCACACCATCCAGGAATCTGCGGCGCTACCAACAACTTGTCCCGTCCAAACGCCGGATACCAACGCAATCCAAAGCGTAGGAAATCCGTGTGGGAGACGCTTGCCGGGACGCTGGAAAGCATGCCTGGGGAGCTTGCAAGCTCCGAAGAGCGAGCTTCGAAGGAGCTTCGAAAGAGCTGCGGAAAGGCTTCCGACATGCGCATTGAGAACGAGTAGGATAACGCTTGCCGAACACGCTGCGAGCTCAAGCAAGTCGCTGCGAGGATGCCTGCCTGGGAGCCTTCGAGAAGAGCTGGCGTATCCCTGCCTGCCGCCTTCTAATCTCAAACCCTCTGAGCTCTCTACGAGCTATCCGGGAATACCAGTCGACGACGCCCAGCTCGCGCATTCGATCGCCCATGCAGCGACTCCTCTAAACAATTAAAGCTGCCCGAAACTCAGAATCCCCTTCCTCCACGCTATTGCCGGAACGCGTTTCCGGGGGCTCAGGACCGGGTGCATGCGCGCTCTGGGCCTGGCTGGGAAGGCTTACATCTTCATCGCCCAAGATTGAAGAGACCAAAAGGTACCGATACCTCTATTCCCTGAACCTCTTCTGGGGTGCGTTCTGAGCAGAAATTCGAAGCGAATCCAGTGGTGGCGACGAGGGCCGTCCAGGAGGCCCACAAGGGGGGGAGAACGAGGCAACGGTAGCTGTATGGGTACCCTTTCCTCGTCTGAGGATCGGAGCACGTGTGTTTCGTCCTCCAGTTGTGTCCGATTCTACGGTGGTGTCCGACGAAAAAGGGACAGCCGCTCCCATCCAACGAGCAGCGAGCGGCGACTCTCCTAGAAAGACATCGCGCAGAAGAGGCCTCGCGTCGAGGCTACCACCTCTAGCATCCAGACTGATTCCTAAGTCGTGCATCGGGCACGCGATTGCAGATCCGCGGATCTGGCGCATGGGCGCCGGATCCACAGATCGGGGAAACGATCACCCCCGAAGCACGAGGCAACAGCCGCCCGATCTGGCGACGGAGCGCGCCGAATCCGCACGGAAACGGGGCACATCGAGAAGCCGCGGGCCTCAATCCGCGTCCGCGCATCCTCGAGGCTTGTGCTGCGCCCTCTCTCCGTCGGGGCACTCCGTTCCGTTCCGTTCGCGTCGGAGGCATCCAAGAAGGTGGGCGTCCAAGGGGATCATGGCTCGCGGCGCGTGCGCGTCCCAACGATGCCAAGGGACGCATTGAAACAAGAGCAGGGGGGGCATAACATCCTGGCAGGTATCACCCCCCCGGTCCAGCCATGACGTGACCCCCCCCATGGTCATCACCCCCCACTTGGGCCACAGAAATCCCGAAAGCTTCAGCGGGGCTGTGTACCGTCACGGATGAGTTGTTGATGGTCCCAGGCGGCCCAGAAGCTGAAGTCTAGAAAAACGCAGTGGCTTACTCGGCGGCATTGCCACATTCATTGGAAACGAAGGCGCTCACGCGCGACCCTACGCGGGAAACTTAAGCGCGAAAGCCCGCACACTTCCAACCCGCTTTTTGCACCGCGCGTATCTTCTGACCCTCTGGGGGGTTGGGGGAGCGGCGGAGCGGAGCGGCGCCGATGTCGCCCAGAGGGCGTCCCCTGTACACGGAACGGCGGGTGCGCCGGGGCGCCTCAGGTCCGAACTCGGAACTCGGCCGGGGTCCGAAAGCAGGGAGCTGGGCTGGAGTCGGAAGGCTGGTGTGGATTCGGAAAATTGGCAGCCGGGGTCGGAACGCTAGAAGCCGGAGTCGGAAAGACGGGCGTCGGAGACGGAAAAGTTGGGAGCCGGACTCGGAGAGATAGGAGCTGGGGTCGGACAAAAAGGGCCTCAGTCGGGAAGCTGGGAGCCTGAGTCGGAGAGTTGGGAGCCAGAGTCGGAGAGCATGGAACTGGAGTCGGTTGGGAGCCGGAGTCGGAGAGAGGGAACTGGAGTCGGAAAATTGGGAGCCGGAATCGGAGAGATGGGAACTGGAGTTGGAAAGTGGGGAGCCGGAGTCGGGGAGACGGGCGCCAGAGTCGGACAGTTGGGAGGCTAGAGTCAGAGAATTGGGAGCCGAAGCCGGAAAAATGGGAGCTGGAGTCAATGAATTGGGGGCCGAAGTCGGACAGATGGGAGCTGGCATTGGAAAGTTGGGAGCCGCAGTCGGAGATAGGGGAACTGGAGTCGGAGAATTATGAGCCGGGGTTGGAGAGACGAGCGCTGCAGTCGGAACGTTGAAAACCAACATCGGTGAAATGAGCGCTGGAGTCGGATGAAAATGGGGCCGTGTTCGCGAAGATGGGAGCTGGAGACGGAACATGGAGAGCTGGAGCTGGAGGTATGAGGCGCCTCAGTCGGATATGCGTACGCACATATATTTCATACCCCCCACAGCTCGTCATCGCAAGCAAGCGTTTCCCAGACCGCATCAGCATGATTACTTCGTACCGTCTGACGTATGCCGTCGAACCAGCACATCCGAGGCCGTTGTGGTAGCCTCCGAGCACGCACGTCGCAGCAAGGTGGGTCCACCATCGCGACTTTCCAACTCAATTTGTGTTTGTCGTGCACAAATTTCGATACCCAGCGCCATTTCCGTCGTCTGCGCGTTGTAACTCAATCCTCGTAGCCAGCTTGAGGAAAGATGTGTTCCACAATATGTTTTGCTCTTTTGATCCGCAATAACTATGTGTGCCACTCGTGCCGTGGGGGGCGGGGGGCTGCCTGGAAGAAGTGACCGTTGCCCAGCGAGGTGAAGAGTTCCTCCGCCAGGCCGCATGGGGGGCTGTCGTTGTCGAAGGGGGGAGGGGAGACGGGGAGGAGGAGGAGGAGGAGGAGGAGGAGGAGGAGGAGGAGGAGGAGGAGGAGGAGGAGGAGGAGGAGGAGGAGGAGGGGAGGAGGAGAGGAGGAGGAGGAAGGAGAAGGTGGGGAAGTGAGGAGGTGGAGAAGTGAGGAGGAGGAGGAGGAGGCGGAGGAGGAGGAGGGGGAGGAGGAGCGAGGCGAAGAGGGGGGAGCATTCAGGGCTAGCAGGAAGAGGAGGAGGAGGAGGAGGAGGAGGAGGAGGAGGAGGAGACAAAGGGGAGGAGGAGGGCGAGGAACAGTTTGCACAGACAAGCAGAATCCCACGAGCCCTCCGGGCAAAATTAGGTGGTCTGGGAAATTTCCTCTTCCAACCCCCTCTTCCCCTTCGGGGAGGGGTTTACCCCTCCCCCCTACCCCCTCCACTGGACCTGGACGGGGGGCTTCGCGAGCGGTCAGAGCTTCCAAGATGGCCCAAGACGGCTCCAAGAGGGGCTCAGAAAGCCCAATATGAACTCCATGATGGTTCAAGATAGCGCAAGATGCCTCAATATGGCTTTCAAGATGCTCCACGAGGCTCCAAGACTGCCCCAAGACGGCTCCAAGAGGCCTCCGAGACCTCCAAGGAGGCCTCCAAGAAGCCAAAATCCTTCAAAAACCTAGGGAGAACCAATGATTTTTGCCTTCTCGCCTTTTCGCGTCCGATGGCCATGCGAGGCCTCAAGATGGCTCCAATATGGCCCAAGAGGGCCCCAAGAGGGGCCCCAAGAGAGCCCCCAAGACGGCCCCAAGAGCGCTCCAAGCGAGCTACAGTGGTGATCTGCGTATGACGCACCTCCGCTGGGCCTCCCAGGAGCCCACGAAAGTGTCGCAACCCCCAGGCACGCCCACCCAACAGACAAGACGGCGAGGCAGGAATCAGGAACCAGACGGCACGAGAGAAGAGGAGAAGGGAACACAGGAAACAGGAGAGAAGGAGGACAGGAAAGAGGAGTAGGAGAGGAGGAGGTGGAGACCAAACTGCTCTATTCAAAACGAGAACCCAACACAGGAGGGTTGGGAAAAAATACTCGACACATCGCCCCCAGACTAACTTTTGGACTATTTTTGAATGTCCCTCCTGTAGAGGGACAGGCCCGACTTAACGCTACAAGACGTGCCAGGAGGCAGAGTCGCACAAATAGAGAAAGTGTCCAATCAGAACCCCGTACTGAAAAGCATGTGTACTCCATCCGTGCAGCCGTTGCACCGTCTCAGAGGCCTCCTGGGCATTCCGCAAGTCTCCGGCGAGAGCTCCGTCTGAAGATGCAGAAAATCCCACGCGGGAGCACCGTTTTGAAAAAGAACTGCCCTCTATCCCTGTAAGTGTTGGATGCTGTGGTTTGACGAAAATGCGCGGCGCTACGGCGAGAGCCGCATTTGAAACCGACCGGCCCTCCACTTGCAACTGCTTGATTGAAGCTGACTGCGAGCCTGGGGGGCGTGAGAAGGGGCGGGCCTTCTCAGCAGGCTGGGAAGCCCCCTGGCCTTCAGAAAGCTTTCTGAGCATCCCCCGAAGACACAGAAGACCTCTCAGAAAGCGCCATGGCTTCTGAGAAGCCCCGCCGCCCTCTGAGAAGGCCGTCTCGCTCGCCACCGACGAATAACACGAAGATGCGCAGCATGGGGGAAACGGGTCCTGAGGGAACCGGGTCCTGGACCCTGGAGCCTCCCCCCCAGGCCGAGATCGTCATCCTGAGCCGTTTCCTGACAGCCACGGGACCCGTGGAGGGCCCCGAGCGGCCCAACACGGCGAAACACCTCGGGACCTCTTTCCCTCAGGACCCGCTTCCCCCGTGGCGACGAACGCGGCGCTACGGCGAGAACCGAACTTTGGAACCAACCAGCCCGCCATCCTTGGACAACTGTCTGAAGCAACTGCGCTCGGCGCCGAGGGCAGGACGGGCATGCTGCATCTTGGAAAACGACCGGCCCTTCATCCTCGCATGTGCTCGAGCCCTCTTGAAGGGGCCCAGGGACACGTGAACAACTGGCACTCGTGCCCTGGCTCGTGCACCAAGGAGCTGCGAGGGGCAGGAGGCTTTCGCCTCCTTCCTCCAGGAGTTTCCCTTGGCTGGGAGAGGAGGACGAACCACGAACGAACGAACGACGACGACGCACGAAAACAAGTCGCACGCGTGCCCTAGCTCTTGCACCAAGGAGCTGAGAGGGACAGGAGGCATTCGCCTCCTTCCTCCAGGGGTTTCCTTCTGTGGCCGGGGGGTGGGGGGGGAGGACGAATGACGAACGAACGAACGAACGACGACGAAAATAAAGAGGTCCGAGCTCTAGAGCACAGCTGTGCAAGAGAATAAAGGCTTCGGCGGTCCAGGGGGGCTGCCCTGGGAGGCCCGTGGGCAGGAGGGGTCCAGGGCCCAGGGAAGCAGGGGCAGGCCAGCGGGTGATTCTGGGAGGCTCGGCAGGAGGAGCAGGAGGAGCAGGAGGAGGGAGGGAGAAAGGTACCCGAATGAAGGGAGACCTCCATACGGAATATGCCTGGGTCGAAATTGATTTCGAGCACGAGCTGGGTAGTCCACCGACTCCAGCAAAGTGGCCCAAGATGCGTTCACGACGGATCTAGGTGGCAACAACGCCCGAGGTGGCTAGGGAGGAGGACGAACCACGAACGAACGAAGCACGAAAATAAAGGCTTCGGCGGCCCAGGGGGGCTGTCCTGGGAGTCCCGGGGGAGAGGGGGGTCCAGGGCCCAAGGAAGCAGGGGCAGGCCAGCGGGTGATCCTGGGAGGCCCGGGGGAGGGGGGGGGTCCAGGGCCCGAGGTGGCCAGGGAGGACGACGAACCACGAACGAACGAACCACGAAAATAAAGGCTTCGGCGGCCCAGGGGGGCTGCCCTGGGAGGCCCGTGGGCAGGAGGGGTCCAGGGCCCAGGGAAGCAGGGGCAGGCCAGCGGGTGATTCTGGGAGGCTCGGGGGAGGGGGGGTCCAGGGCCCGAGGTGGCCAGGGAGGACGACGAACCACGAACGAACGAACCACGAAAATAAAGGCTTCGGCGGCCCAGGGGGGCTGCCCTGGGAGGCTCGGGGGAAGGAGGGGTCGAGGGCTGAGGCAAGCAGGAGGACCAGCGGGTGATCCTGAGAGGCCCGGGGAAGGGGGGGGTTCCGGGCCCGAGAGGGCCAGGGAGGACGACGAACCACGAACGAACGAACCACGAAAATAAAGGCTTCGGCGGCCCAGAGGGGCTGCCCTGGGAGGAGAGGTCCAGGGCCCAGGGAAGCAGGGCAGGCCAGCGGGTGATTCTGGGAACCCCGGGGGGGGGGGTGCAGGGCCCGAGGTGGCCAGGGGCAGGCCAGCGGGTAATCCTGGGAGGCTCGGGGGAGGGGGGGGTCCAGGGCCCGAGAGGGCCAGGGAGGACGACGAACCACGAACGAACGAACCACGAAAATAAAGAGGTCCGAGCTCTAGAGCACAGCTGTGCAAGAGAATAAAGAGGTCCGGGCTCTAGAACACAGCTGTGCAAGATAATCAATGGGCACAGATCCCAAGATTCCGCGGTTGTTTCCATAAATTCTGGATGATCGTCTTCCCTTCCACTTCCCTCATTCTCCCGTATTTCCCTTGGAATCGACGATTATTTGTGTCTGTGTGTGTTTGTCCTTCCTGACTTCTGCTTCAACGTAATACGAAACTGTCAGGGCATCTCAAACGAAATGCCGGCCTGACCCACGGACGCGCCTGTTGGTGCGACATGGTGAATTGTTTCAGCGGCGCGCCGAGGGGGGAAGTGAGAGGGGGCAGGCCTTCTCAGAAGGAGGTTGGGCTCCAGAGGAGCCTCAGGACAGCTTCTCAGAACCCCGAGGCCTTATGAGCCTTCTGAAAAGGCCCGCCCCCTCTGCACGTGGTTTTCGGGACCCCTGGCCGCCGTTCGGGACGCCATCGACGAGGCGCAGCTGCTGGAGAGCACCCCGAGGCGAAAACGCCTCCAAACACCAACGAACACTTCCCCGCGCACTCCCGCTTCGACGACGAACCCGTTCTCCCCCCATGCAGTATACACGGAGGACGAATACGGCCACACTCACGACCGCGACGACGGCGGTCGGCGGGAGGTGGAGGAGGGAGGAGTGAGGAGGGGGGAGGTGGAGGGAGGGAGGTGTTTTCGCGGTGTTTCCTGTCGCAAGCCCCCAGGGCGGGTTGTCGCCCCACGCCAAAATAATTAGCCAAACTCCCGTGCTGGGCAAACCCCCGCTGCCGTGCCGTCGCAGGGGCCTCCGGCCGATACGCCTGGCCCCAGTGACACCCGACCTAAATCGACAAGCGCGTTCCACGACTCGCAGAGAAACTGCTCGCAAATGGCCTGGATCCGCCATGGAGGATTTACGATACATTATACACGAAACGCACACATGTCTTTCCAGACGTTTGCGAGCAGGCACTTTGCGAGTAGTGGAACGCGCTCGGTGACTAAAGCGTGTCTGGTACCGGGGCCGCGGACTCAGTGGAGGAGAAGGAGGGAGGACCAGTTTAAACCCAAGACGCATCAACGGTGTTCCTATAGACTTTCCCTCCAAATTCTCCCTGCGTCGGTCCCTACAAGAATTTACGCCAATTTCGGGAAATGCCCCATTGATCAATTAAGCGTCCGAGAATCTTCAATTGTGCCAGAACGCCTCTCCTGGGACTTCAACGTAGCGAATCAACGTCGCGCCAGAACACCACTCCCAGGACTTCAACACCGCGAATTAATGTGAATGTTGCGTCCTGACAGTCCTCAACCGCGCCAGAGCAGTTATCCTGAGACTTCAACCCTACGAAGTCTTAAAACAATACGAATGCGCAACGCTAAAGCGAGAGCCACGTTTTGAAAATGACCAGCCCTCCATTCTTGAAAAGGTTACACAAACTTCAATCCTCAAAATCAGAAGCGGTGAGGACGTCTCAGGCCAGGCGTCTCAAGGAAGACGCT